CAATGCCTTGTTCTCACCTCTCTGGATATCGATTTGAACTCTACTGCCCTGCCATTTCAGTCAATCACACAGAAATAATGCTTGGAATCTATATTTTATTGTTGAATCTTTTGCATCCCAGAAGTTTTACTTTGTCTAACGCACCATAAGATGAGGGGGGGGGAGGGATGGGTCACAGAGTCTAAAACGTCCGGAAGGCTGCCTTTTAGAGAAGGACTAGCTGCTGGGCTATGCCCCCTCAAGGGGCACCTACTGCCCAACTGAGATTGTGAGTTCTCTGGGGAAGGGACTGTGCCTGGATCTATGTTTGGATGAATTTGCAGTAACAAATGCTATGATTTAACGATATCCTCTGCTGCTATGTCAAGTCTTCTCTGTCTCTCGGGAGCAGGAGATCAGCTAGTTTTGAGCTATCCCTCTGGGATTGAGGGGAATCTTGCCCAGAGGAGTCCTTGGACCAAACTCAGCCCTGGGACCTGCACCCACCTACTCCAGGGATGGACTTGACCCCTTAGTTTCTATGTCAGAAAAATCCAGCCCCCTTTCAGATGAACAACAGGGATCTCAGAGAGAGGAGGAGAGAGAGAAAATAAGGGGATTAAGTGTTTCCCTTGGTGCTCTAGACAAGTTCCTTTGCACCCTGAATCTTGGTGTTCAACTCTCAGCAGGATTCATTTTACAGTCACGAGTCACCTCCTACCACATGGAGAAAGCACAGTGCCTCCCCCCCATTCTCTCACTACCAGCTGAACTGCAGTGCAGGCAGAATTCCATCTCATCTCCTCCCCACAACCTGGCAAAATCCAGCATCTGTGACTTACCTTGGATCAACAATTGCTGCTGCCCATCTCCCTCTTCTCCTCCTGCATGCAAACACTGCCTCTGCCTGCAAGTGCATGTGGAAGCCTTTGCAAAGACCTGCAGTTGCCCAGAAATTAGAGAGTTTCACTGTGAAATCTAGGGATCCCTTCCCAGCTGTACTGAAAGCCCATATCCCTGCTGCCTGCAAGGGGCAAAACAGGGGGAAGTGCACTTGCTGGGGGAGAAGACCCCATCCCTCTGAGCTGCAGCCTGATAAAGCCTCTCTGGATTCCCAGGGTGTGGGTTACATGGGTGACTCAATGTCAGGGCGGGTGTGGTGAGGGAAGGGCATCTGGTCAGTTTTCAGCAGGGCTGCTCCCATTGGTTGTCTCCTGAGCAGGTAAAACTCACCTGGCTGTGAAGATTCCAGCCATTCTGATACCAGGCAGCCTCCAGATCATCACCGTCACCTCTGTATGCTCTCATCTTCACTCACAGTGCAACTGCTGACCTTTCTGACTCTGTGTGTTCTTCAGGAGAACCAAAGCAGCAGGTTCTCTCTTCCTCCCTGTTTTCTCTGAACTATGATGTCCATAGCCTTTGTTGCTGCTGCTTGGTTCCTTGAAGTTTCTGACACTGGAACTACAGGGTGGCCAGAAGGAAACACATGGCTGCAGGGAGGAAGGATAAACTTGTGGTTTACACTGGGAATCAGGACTAACACAGTCATGGACTAACAGTGTGACCTTGGCCAAGTCCCAGCCCCTCTGGTGCCTCAATGTCCTCATGTGTACATGACAGTTGAGGATCCTGACCTGGCTGGGCAAAACTGTAATGGGCTGGGAGATAGAGTGACCAGATGTCCCAATTTTATAGGGACAGTTCCAATTTTTGAGTCTTTTTCTTATATAGGCTCCTATTACCCCCCACTCCTGTCCCAATTTTTCACATTTGCTGTTTGGTCACCCTACTGGGAGATCACAGAGTAGGGAAATGCTGCTCAGGGCAAGGAATGATTATTATTAAGCTAAACAGGCAGTGCTTGAGTTCTGGAACCAGCTCCTTGTGAATGTGAGTACGGGTGGGTATCCCAAGGGGTTCTCCTTGGTCATAGGGGTAAGGGCAAATCATTGGAGGGCCCCAGAAGGAACGCAAAAATCACAGACACAATGGACAGAACCTCTGAAATTCTCCAAGGGAACTTGAAACCCATTGGCCCCTAAGATCAAGGGGGGGAAATTATTACAATTGTTTCTAACATGTTCATAGGTGTTGAGAAGGTAACAAATAACAAGAGCTATTCCCTGAGGTGGCTCTGAAATTTCATCTCTGTAATATAATGCAAATAGAGTAGGCAACTGGAGCTAGGACTTCTGGGTTCTGTTCCCATTTCTGTTACCGTCTCATTGTGTTGACTCTGGACAGGTCAGGTACTCTTCTCAGTGCCTTGCTTTTCCCATTTATACTATGGAGATCCTGCCAACACCCAGCAGTGCTAGGAGGGGGCACCCTCAATTAGCATCTTTAAAGTGCTTGAAGTACCTCAGAGAAGAGGCCTCCTCTTACAGGAGCAAAGTACTCCTAGTCTTACAGCACAGAGAAGGTACATTGACCTACTCTTGCAGTTTCAGCCCTAAAGCGTCCCTCCCTCCCCTTCCTATTTATGGCCACCTGATACTCATCACCCACTGATCTACACACCTGCAGATAGTTGGCCTCACATCAGTACTGCAGCTATTAACCCTTTATATTCCAGTCACAATCAATGCAACTGCTGGAGGTCCCTTGTGTGTCATGGAGATTTGGGGCTGCTCTATGCTGATGGGAGAGAGCTCTCCTGTCGACATAATAAAACCACCTCCACAAGTGACAGTAGTTATGTCAGTAGGAGAAGCTCTCTCACCTGGAAGAGCCCAAGCACCAGCTTGTACTGCCTAGTAGCCAAGCACCCTTTGTTACCCTCTCCCTATAGCTATGGTCACCACTCTCTCACCAGGGACAACATGGCAAATTATTTGAGGGAACATACCTCAGAGATGGGCTGGATCCAAACCCCAAGCTGCAGAGAAAATACAGCTCTTGCATCTGGATGTTCTATGAACATGACCTGGCCTCTGGCACTTTGGAAGAGGCCCTAAACTATAAGGAGAGAAGAGATGGTTTGTCTTGGGTGTGCATGGGGAATTGATAGGGGCCAGGCCACTGTGGGGGTGAGTGTGTGGGGTGGGGGGAGGATTAAGTTAAACCACGCTGAACATCTGAATTGCATAGTTTACACCACAGATTAGGTGAGGAGCCAGGTGTATGTGATACAATTACAAGGGACAAAAGGACTGAATGAAGCGACAAGTGTATCCTTCACTTTTCTGTGGCAGTTTGGAAAAGATACACAATACACGCACATCCACATCTTCTTTAGCAGGACCTTTTGTGCTGATGTTGTTACTTTATGGGACTCCCTTGATAATTTGGTTATGCTGATCCCTCCTAGCAAATAACATTTCCAATGTATCCACCAGAACCAGTTCCCACCTCTGTCCACTGGCCTCTGCTGGCACACAGCACCATTGCATCACATGACCAGTTAGGGAGATTTTAAAAAAATATTATCCAAACTCCATGTCAAAGAAACACTAGAAAGGGTCCCCATGTGCCCCATGAGAGTCTGTGTAATTCTGTACTAGTGAAGCTAGATTGTAATTTTACATCTCCTGCTCTTGTAGTGCTGCTCTGGAGGACCAAGAACAACCCTACAACAGCAAACAGGATGCAGAGCCCAGGAGCAACCCTACAATAAACAGGGTACAAAGACTCTCCTCACTCTGTAGTGACCCCATTCGGTGATGATAGGATCTGACGGAAATTAGTGTGTTAGGCACAGATTCTCAAAAGTTACAGAATTTCAATTAGAGTTAGGTACCTAAATACTTTTGAGGATCCAAACCTTAACTCTTGTGCAGAGCTTTGAAGATGAAGAGGTATGTATAAATATCAAGCATTATTATTCCTCGCTCACCCTCCTCAATTCAGTGCTGGTGCTGCCCATTGGGGCCCCTAAGCAGGAATATTTTTGCCCCTGCCCTCACAACACATACTAATAATTAACAGGGGGCCCCCCTTGAGCTGCTTGGCACCCTAAGCAATTGCTTGGTCTGCTTATGCTTTGCTCTGTTCATCTAGAAAGACATTTGTAGCAAAGTGAGGCCAATAGGAGAATCTTCTACACATTGATGTGTACCACATCTCTTGCCTAGCTCAGAGCACGGAGCAGAGCAGCAAAGTGAACAGGACAAGAGCCTGCTCAGTTTCATTCCACAGCTGTGCTCCATCTGCTGGTGGGCTAGCAGCAAAATGAGGTTACAAGGAAGTCTGTTGAGTTTATCTTGGAGCTGTGGAGACAGGGGGAAGCTGAGCAGCAAGTTGTTGGCGGGGAAGGAGCTGGATTAAGAATAAGAGACTGGGAGGGAAATGGAAAGGAGAAGAAATTGGGACTGAAGTCAAGTATCAGGGGGTAGCCGTGTTAGTCTGTATCTACAAAAACAACATGGAGTCTGGTGGCACCTTAAAGACTAACAGATTTATTTGGGCATAAGCTTTCGTGGGTAAAAACCTCACTTCTTCAGATGCAACATCTGAAGGTCCTCCAAAAAGTATTTGAGTTCTCAGACCATAAAGGCCACAAACCTATGGATGATCCTATATTACCAACAGTTGCAAATCTATTCCTTTATACTTATTTTTCCAGAAATGTTAGGATAAAGCTCTGCTAACCTAACTAAGGAGCTGAGCACTTATCAAGAATTTAGATTAAATGGACAGACAAAAAACCCCCTCAGGTGATAGCTCTTTTATTCTCAAGTAGATTGCTTGCTTCATTGATACTAATCATCCAGTCCCTAGAAAGGTCTTTAATGGGTATTTAAAAGTGTGAAACAGAGGCCTTTAATTCACCTGGTCAAATCTCTCTCATGTTCTCTCTTTTTAATATAAAGTGAGTTCAAATCACATGGAGCAGAACTGGAGAGTTAAAAGTTAGCAGTGGTTAACTTGCTGTGGCTTGCTCTGTGTTCTCCTTCCAACATTCAGGGTATGCAGCAGTTGTGGGTTATTTTGTAGATTATAAGAAAATGTATTTGAATTGTCAAAACAAAACATTTTGGGAAAGCCTGCATCTAAAAAGTGGCCTTGAGGACTGGGATATGGAGGAGAAGCTCAAGCTAACTACCACCACTGATCAGTTTCCTCAAGGTAAGGAGTTCTGAGAGGCTTGAGTTCTGGATGGTTTGGTTATGTGTATGTTCTTGGCTGTGAAACTTCCAGGTGAAAAGATGACTCTTTGATGGCTGGAGATAGAAATCTGATCTAGCCTGGAAATTCATTAAAAACCATATCTTGTCTTGCTATCAAAGAGTTTAAATGCTGCTAAATTAGAATGTTCTCTTCTATGAACTTCAAAATGTATGCAAATTTAGAAGAACCTGGAGATTAAACTGTAAATAACTGACAGGTACTCTGATATTGGGGGGGGGAATCCTAAAGAGAGCTGGCAAGACTGGCTCAATTAAATAAAAATCTCCAGAGAGCACTCCAGAAAACATATTGGCATGTGATAGAACTAGCAGCACTGACTGGGCTAGAGCAGATGCCAGTGCTGGATACATGTGATTGTTCTTGATTCTAGTTCAACATTGTGAAACTATCACAGGAGATGTTTTGATAAAAGATAGTAGATAATGTTTTCACCCCTCAGCTCACAGAGAGCTGAGAAGCAATTATAGTTTAAACAGGAATAATTTGGGGGAAGTTCAATGGCCTGAGTTATGTAGGAGGTGAGACTAGATGATTACAGTGCCCCCTCTGGCCTTTGACTCTATGAATGGAAAAAAACAGAAACCGAACATTTCTAGTATGTCCTGTCTAGTTCATGTTCAGCTCCACCATTGTTGCTATGATTTGCTGCTTTGGCCAGTCTAATTCTAAATCTCTCCAGTGATGTGCCAGTCTCAAAGAATTCTTATGATACTTTAGTACATAGATTGTAGGGCTTTGGACTATACTAGGGGAAATGCTGGGACTGGCACCTCCCTAAAAACCTTATAGTCACAATCTTAGGCTCTAGGCCTGGAATCTGACCCTTAAGCCCACATGGGTCCCCATTCTGCAGGGGTCCAACTGCAGGATGAGGGTTTTGATGTCTGCAGCCCAGTGGTTCTCAACCAGGGGTACCCCTGGGGATACACAGATCTTCCAGGAGGTACATCAACTCATTTAGCTATTTCTCTAGTTTTACAACAGGCTATAGGGTTGCCAACTTTCTAATCGCACAAAACTGAACAACCTTGCCCTGCCCGTTCTCCGAGGCCCTACCTTGCTCTCTCCATTCCCTCTCTGCTCGGTCACTCGCTGTCCCCCACCCTCACTCACTCATTTTCACTGGGCTGGGGAGGGTCCCTTTTTGACCAGCTGTTTTGGTTTAAGCACAAGTGAAGTCAGTACAAACTAAAATTTCATACAATGACTTGTTTATACTGCTCTATATACTATACACTGAAATTAAGTACAATTATGTGGTAAAAATGAGAAAGTAAGCAATTGTTCAGTAATAGTATACTGTGACACTTTTGTATTCTCGTGTCCAATTTTGTAAGCAAGTCATTTTTAATTGAGGTGAAAGCTGGGGGGGGTATACAAGACAAATCAAACTTCTGAAAGGGGTACAGTAGTCTGGAAAGGTTGAGAGCAACTTGTGTAACCCAAACTGGGTGACCCATCATGATACGGAAAAGGGCCTTTTTCCCAACCCAAATTAGACTGAGGATGTGTCTCAAAGCCCTGATGCTCAGAAGAGAAAGGGGGTGGAGAAGAGGAGGGAGATGGATGTCAGTGCTGTCAATTCACCACATTGTCTCTAAACTTCCATTTTCCCCCAGCTGCAGATGAAAAACTGAACCATCATATGCTGAAGTGGCAGTGTGAGCGACAGGTGCGCAGGAATTCACTCCCGAAGGAACTGTCTGAGACCCTCCTGTCCACACAGCCTGGTGGTGAGCCATGAGCAGGGTACTGTCCTGGCGGAAAGGGAGAGTGCCATAAGCAGATGCGTAGGTAAAGGGGCATTCGTTCATCCTGTTACAGAGAGATGGACCAGCAATGGAGAGCACATCTGGGTCTGATCTTCTCCAAGGATCAGAGGCGCTTAGGTCAGCTCTGAGGGGAGTATTATGTACTCCTTTATCCATTGGATGCTGCCAGACCAGTAGCTCAGGGTGATTCCTGGGTAGTGGGGCTGCAGGCAACTATGGTGCTGCTGGCAGGGGAAGGGAGGTTAAAACTCACAGGGTGAGCAAGGGACAAGGCCTGGTGGTGTGAGGGGCTACAGAACAGGAGGGAAAAAACAATCCTTTTTTTGTGAGATATGGAGATGAATGCTATCGGGGGGGTGGGGGGGGTTGACAGCATAGAGTCTTAGGGCTAGGAGAGCCCCGAGATTTTTGGATCTACATCCTATTTAGCCTAGCCCTGTTCCCAGGAGGCAGGAGTCCTGTCTGTTGCAGAGGCCCTCAGATGGTGTTACTAGAGTGATTTGGCTTCTTCTCTGTCAGCAGAATCTTATGTGCAGTCCCATCTGTGGATGTGGGTGAACCCCAATCTGGTTTGCCCCATTGTCAGCTGTCCCAGTGTGGACATGCCAGGACCCAGTAGCCCAGCACTCTCAGTAGCTGCTGCTGCTCCAGGGTTTTCTTCTCCAAGCTCTTCCTTGAATTACTCCAACCTTGACTGTTCTGAGGAGGATCTGCTGTCATCAGCCAGTGAGGCAGAGAAGGTACGTGGCAGAGTGGAAGCTGTGT